ATAAAACAAAGGTTCAAACACAGGAGCGAGGCTGTGTTGAGCTACTAGGGGCAACTATTTCGTATGACTGTATCTGCAGGTCCACCCCCTAAAAAAGATAAATCCAAATTTAAGTCGCACACAAGATGTTAGCTTTATAAAATAAACGAAAAGCTCAAAAAGTAAAGCAAACACACAGACGTTAACACGAAGGGGGTAGCTGTTAGCATACCTAGCTTGTTTATTCCCACCGCACAAATATAATTTCAACTGTAAATATACGCAGTGAAATAGCTTGACTTTAATCTGTTAATTGGTCGTAAAGCTCGCGGCTTGTACCTTTTCTATTGCCTCTTGTCGCGCCTGTCGCTTCTTTTCTTTCCTTTCATCGATGCTGCTCGAACTCTCAAAACTAACCCCGTGCGTCGCCATGACACTGCCGTAAATGCGTATGTCAAACGTCGTAACGCTTCGTGGTTTACGGTAACTGTTGACTTGCTGTTCATGTAGTCTCAGGGCGTGCAAATGTGTAGGCACATGTGGTAAAGCTGTTTAAAAAAAGGTTTTAAATCAATTTGACTAATATTCCGGTTATATTAGTCTCCAAAATAAAATACCTTTAAATCAATCTTTATTTTGTATAAATTTATCCAGCTGACCACCTCAGTCACTATGGTTTCATGATAAAATGTGATCCTTGTTCAGTGGTTTGTGACTGAGAAATTATACTAAAATAATTAAATTTCTTATAGTTACATCGAATTAATTAAAAAATGTAAATTACAAATTAAGTACCCGCAAATGAACCATTATATAACCGCTATAAGAAAATAAGTTAGATCATTTTGACTGCTATGTTAATGTAACCATAGGGTAGAGGATCAGTAAAGCTACACTCTGATTGATAGCTGGCACTTTACTTTCCTTCCAAATGATTGAAACAAAAAAAAAATTACATTTTTTGTTAAATCTTCCCCCAGCCCTTAAAAAAGGATAAAGGTAGGGTTTTGTATTAGTTGTACTGGTGTGGTTAAGAAAGACAGCATTCCCCTGCTTTTAACTAAAAGGTTAGATTTTTGGTAAGGTATTGGAGGGGTATATTTGACAACAAACTTGTAGGCTATCTTTCCGCATTCTCTCACATATTCTCCTTCATCCTAATCAATAAAAGCAACTGGACCATTTATAATTCAGATTCAACACCGGTTTGTATCTATTGCTCCCACAGGAACTGAGAGCTTCATGGATGATTTGACCTGAACCTGTGACAAACTACCCTCTTGCCATAGAAGGACAAACTGATGAATTCCCTTTTAAATAGTGCTTGTTTTAAAATTCTTCCCAAAAATTATGTGCATTTGACTGGTTTATAAAATAAAAGCAATCCTACTTTAAGCTGTGATGTGAATCTTGACTATTATTACAAGTGTTATGACCTGTCTAGGGGAAAAGCCTTGATCCCACATATTATTAGTGATCCCACTGCTCAACAAATCCCAAGCAAGAACAACAGCTATAAGTTCCAACAGGCAGTCTGTTGGTTTATTAAATGATTTCACACATTTTGCTTACAGAGAAGTGATGCATAGTCGTCAGACTAAATCAAGGCCAAAAACTAAAAGCAAAAGGAAGAAGAAACCACACTTACCTAATTAAATAAATACATTAAATAAAAATTTACCGACCCATCTAAATAAATAGGAGAAAAATTGAGTTCAAACATAAACAGCGTTTAACTCCTTCAACCCTCTCACACCTGAACAACTATTATTTACCATCCTAAACTGCAGAGGTGAAACAATGTGTGGCCGATTGGAACAGGCAGAGAAAAAGAGATGACAAGCAGTCTGTGTGGCCATATTTTATATTGGTCTTCTGAACTACTCCACCAACACGCTGACACCAATCAGCAACCAGCACTTGTACACTAAGATTTACTTACAAATATGAATGGAGTTGTAACACAAGCCTTGTTATTATATCCATTCATCTTCAGCTACTTGTCAAAGGTGGCACGGGACCTGGTGCAGACCTCCAGTAGTCTATGGGTGAAAAGCACAGTGCACATTGAACACGTCAGTAGTCCAAAGCAGATTTGTCCAAAGCAGTGCGTTGGTCTCTGTTAATAGAACCAATGCACAAACCCACTCACACCTTAACAACTATTAACAACATCTAGGACAGCAGAGGAGAAACAATGTGTGACAGATTGGGACAAGCTGAGAAAACGGGATGACAAGCAGCCTACATCATCGTCTTTTAAATCCGTCCTCTGCCTTAGTCCACAATTCAGCTGACTCCAATCGGCACCTGTACACTCAGATTTACATTTTCAAAACAAGCCTTGGTATGATATCCATCCATCTTCAACCACTTGTCCAAGGTGGCAGGGTCCTGGTGCCAACCTCCAGTAGTCTATTGGTGAAAAGCAGGGTGCACTCTGGACAGGTCACCAGTACAAAGTAGATTTATTGAAAGCAACGCAAGAACACACTCACACCTAATGCTTATTTAGAAGCACCAATTAACCCAAGTCATATTTTTGGACTGTAGGAGGGAGCCAGATGCACAGGGAGAACATGGAAACACCATCCAGGAAGAACCTTTGCAGGGCCGAACTATGGACCTTCTTGCTGCGTGGCAAAAATGCCACAATGCAGCTGTGGTATGATAATTTAAAAAAAAAGAGAGAGAAAAATAGGCCATTTTGAACCTGAAAACCAGGATTGATGTCAGCCTTAAATTACATTTTTAGAAACATGAGTGAGCTGCTTAAACTTTTAAATTACTGCTTTGACTATAGACTTGAATACATTTGAACTGGCCTCTTACCACTATCATTTCCATTTCAAGAGTGGCAGAAAAAAGTTACAGAAAAGTGTTTGTGACTGTTTATTAAAGGTTTTTAAGAGACCTGACTTAAAAAATGAATGTAACAAGAACAATTCATGGGCTTTTTAAAATCTATATTTGCATAATACTTATACTGACCTGTGATCCCAGAGGTCACTACTTTAGATATTTTCTAAAAACAAAAAAGAAAATTTCCTTCCTAAATGTGAGCCTAAAGCTCCACCTTACACTGCAGCCCTTTAACAGGAAAAGGTCTGGCAGAGTTACTACGGCTTAGTTACAGCTCGGTGATCTCAGAGCAGACGCTGACATCAAAGGCAAATTAAAAGGGAGTGCAGTACAGAAAGTAATTAGAAAGTTGAGTGAATTGGTGAAAAGGCTATGCACTATGAAAAACATTCAAGGGGGTGATTAAACTCATTTCTGTGGTAGAGGTTCCAGCACAAAAGAAGTCTGCTACAGATATTTGCATTTATTGCGTCAGGATTAAGAGAACTCTCCAGGCTATTAAAATTCTGCTCATTCCTGTCAGTCTAATCTCATGAAGACCTCTTATAACCAGTGAAAATCCAAAGACCCCCATTCAGTCCCTAGAAGTGAGCCACAGCTTGGCCTTCATGACAGCAGAATAAATTCTGATATCTTGAGAGGAGAAATGTACCAATGGTGACTTGCCAACAACCATCTGTCTTTTTAAAACTGAATATTTAGTTTTTCTTCCTGTTGAAAAATAGTTTATTGAAAGGTAGATAAACAAAGAAATTATTTTCATCAACTCTTTGAAATAAACGTCCATACCACTTTCTTCTACAATAAAAATATTCCTTGATAAATGTCTATATCGCTGAATATAGACACATTTACATTATATCCTAAATTGGCATTCACATGTATATTTGTCTCTTTACACATCTAAAATAAATATATATATTTTTTTTACTTTATTCGTAAAAGCATATAAAATAAAAAGATTTTGACCAAATAATTCAGATTTTAAATAAAAAAAAAAATCCTGCTAATACAACAATAAAAAAAAAATACTTTAAAAAATAAGTATTAGGGTTTGGACTGGATTTTGCATATCACAATACTTACATACACATTTAAAGTTGACATATGGTACAATGTGACCTTTATTACCTTTTTTTCCAATAAAAACAAACACCCAGAAAATGTATGTGTAGTTTTTAGTGCTAATTGGAATAAATATACTTTTTGTGTTTCTGCTTTTAAATGAATTAAATTAAAACTGTGAAAAGCTTTTAAATTAATCTGGGTTCCTGTTTAGGGAGCTAGCCTATACTTAATGCTACTTCCAATTTTAGTTTTAACTTAAAATGATTTTCAGTTTTTAGCGCTCTCTCCGTAAACTTAAAGTATTTCCAAACAGCTGGAACTCTTGTTGCTGAAACCAAAGAAATTGTCGGTCTTCTCAGCCAGGTGACTTGCAGTGTGTAGCAACAGGTGGCTTGACTTTTTAAAACCTCAATAGTGAAAACCATCCGATGCCTAATCACATACCACATACTGTAGGGGAAACTTGCCAGTATTAAAAAATTAGAATCTCGTTTTGATAAATATTTTTTTAATAGTCGTTCCTAAAGAAGAAAAGAAGAAAAAAAAAGCTTTTAGGGTTTTGGAAACTGATGTTTCAAAAAAACCTGGACTTTATCTGCAAACGTTTTTTGATTCTGGATTAACCTGAAGCCTTGATGACAACTCTATTGAGTAAAAGTCCTCTGTATGGAAGTGTTTCTATATGTTTTTTATATACTCCGTTATACTTTTTGTGTATTAGAAATGCATCGCTTCCCTTTGCAACATCGTCCCAAAACAGATCTGAAATGTCAACTGGTTAAATAAAGGAACAGGAAGAATAATCTCCCAGAGGGGAAGGCAGCACTGGATGTTCACTTCAAAGTCTGTCCTTGACTATATTTGGACATTTCAAAGATCAAGGCTTTATGAGATATTTGAGCTTATCTCTCATCACTACTAGTTGGTTTTAACTGGAACAAATAAAGCAGGATCAACCAGAAAGAAGGAAAGTCTTGGGAATATAGATGAGAAATAAAAGTGATGACCTCATGGAAACTGAAAAGCTTTCTTTGAAAACTTCTGGCTCTAATTATAGGAGGGAAAAAAGGATAATTTTTCACACAAGCAAATACTTAGTTGGATTCTCAGATTTATTTCACCTTAAAAACTGCATGAGTAAAATCACATAATTAAATTATTATCAAACTGTTACTCCTTTTTTAATACTACACACCAGTTTCCCTGGTCATGATAGCTGGTCTGCACTTGGACTCCAGTCACCTGAACGCAGAGCTCTTCCAGCTCCCCCTGCTGGAAGACATGGTAATAACGATGAAAGACAGGCACTGGCCTGTCACTAAGAAACTGAGCCGCTGGATCTGGGTTTTCTGTGGTGTCAGAAGACAAACTGGAGTCCGAACCTAAGAGACTAGGTTCCCCTCTGGAACTAAACCTGCATGATGTTTCTTCTAACCCTTGTGTTTTCCTCCCTTTAAGGTGCCAGGGAACCAAAAGGTCCTGGGAATTGAAGGCTGTGCGGTTAGTGTGGACACTAAGTTTCCCTTCAGTCATATTGCTGACATCTTTTAAGCCTCCACTTTGGTTTGCAGCAGTGAGGATACTTGGCTCTTCATGCAAATTCTGGCTTCCTTCTGGTAAGTCTTTACTTCTTCCTCCATTATGTTGTTTGTTCTGCTCTTTTAGGTATTTAGACTTCTGCTTGTTGTATTCCTGCTCATAAGCCCAAACATAGATGAGTGCCTGGCCTCCAGGCTTTAGAAGTCTCACCAACTCCCTCACTGCTGCCAGCCGACGCTCCTGCAACACACAAAATATTTAAAACTTCAGCATTTCCAAAAATAATGGGAAAAAAGTAGTTAAATCTAATTCTCTGTGTAATTACAATAGCATTTTAGCTAGGGCTGCAACTAACGATTATTTTGCAAATGGATTACCGGTAATCTGTTATTTTTTCGATGAATAATCGGATAGCTAAAGGTAAAGAATAGAAAATTCCTTAATTGTCCCACAATTGGGAAATTCTGGTGTTTACAGCAGCAAAAAGATGATAGTCACACAAATGTGGACCTTAGAAAAATGTATAAGAATAAAATAGTGAAGAGTTAAAAGATAAGCAATAAAATATGGTACTGTAAAGTGTTTTAACAATATAAATACTAAGCCCTTGGACAATAAATAACCAATATACAGCTATTGACATTTTTACAGTAATGGAGATGTGAAAATAGCAACATCAATGATGTGCAAAATGACAGCAGCATGTTATTTAACTGACTAAGGTAAAAACTGCAAAAATCAGCATGAATGTAACAATTTATTACAACTTTACTTATTTTGCATAGAGCATATTGACAAACGAAAAAGTTTTTTTTTTTTTTTATCTTAGATGCAAAATGTTTACATAATTTGTTTTTATTTTATTTTAATATAATTGCTGCTTAAGGGGGGTTGCTCTGTCATCTAAAGTAATGTTTTAAAGTTGCTCAACTCCAGTGAACGATTTATCATTTACTAAATTAGTTAATGATTATTTCAGTAATCAATCACAATTAATGCCTTTATTGTTTCAACCCTCATTTTAGATCTGTAAAAAGTTAGAAAATTAACACATGGAGTATAATGAACACTGTTTACACCCCAAAATGTAAACTTGCAGCTCCTATTCTAGTTTCATAGTCAGTCAAGCAGATGTATAAGGATAAACAACAGTTAAACTTCCATCCGTGTTTTCTAGCTTTCAGTATAACTTAAGAAAGTTACATAAAGCTATTATGATTTCAACTGGAAATATTAGCTCTTCTCTTTTCATCTGTGTAAATAAGTGTGACAGAAAACTGTGAAGGTTTGTTAAATGTGTGTAGGTGGTTGTGTGTTTTTAATGTTGATATATATGATTATGATATATATGTATATATATGTACCGGTATATGTATATATATATTAGTGCTGTCAAAATTATTGCCTTATTATCGTATTAATTTTTTTTAATGTGAGATTAACGCTATGTGGTTTTATGGTACAATTTTCCAAGTACCGGTACATCCCGCTGCAGCCTGCGGGAAGGCGGGGCTATTTTCCCCCAGTCTATGCATTTTCCATAGGCTTCGAGAGCGGAGCTCCTCAAGGAAAAAAGACGCACACACTGGGTAGCGCTAGTGCCTTTTCTTTAAGCCCCACCACCAACAAACAAGTTGAGTGTCTGGTGCCTAGTAGCAACCTGAAATACGCTGAGAAAACAGATTACTGAGGTGAAATGGAATCTGCTACGGCACTCTTGCTGTCTGTGTACGCCACAGGTCAGTATCGTGTGTGTGTGTGTGGGTGTGTGTGTGTGTGTTCTCATTTTTGTTAAGAGTCTGAAAAGTAAGTTTCTAGAGCATAGACTACCTCCATCTAGTGATGTCGGTCTATTGATTTTGATGTATTGATTGAAAATTGTTCATTATTATCTTGGTTAATTAACATCTAATGTTAACTGTACTACATTTTATAGCAGTAGGGTAAAATGCTTGTCTTTGTTCAGAAGACTGTATTAACTGTAAAGACTGTCTTTTACATCAGCCTGTTTTCAGGGCCTTTTTTTTGGCTACATATTTGTTATTTTTTGCTACATGCCTCCCCATCTTCTTGCCATATGTTTCTATGGCATAAATCAGTGTCTGTGACCTGTTTTCATTAAAAAAAAGAACATTGGCACAAACCTAGCCTGTATGTATTTTTTGTATGTCATCGAGAGTATTTAAATTATTTTCGATCAGAAAAAAAATGTGTGATTAAAATGCGATAAATCGCGAGTTAACTTAGGCATTGATGCAATTAATCGCGATTAAAAAAATGTAATCAATTGACAGCACTAATATATATATATATATGATATATAATTGTAGCTTTTAGTTTTAATAATTACTGTATGTGGACAAGCCTCCTTTCACAACACTTAAAAATTCCCTACAGCACTTAAAAATCAACAAGAAGATGGAACGCTACTGGATTGTCTTGTGGGATGCTCTCTATAATAGACAGCTTTTCCCATCTGACTGATAATCCACCAACCTTCCTCTGTTGTAACAGGAGCCGGGTAGCAGCAGTGGAAGATTATACAGCACAAATGTGCATTAAAGAGGTAATGAAAACACTGTGTTCATGGGAAGCCGACATCCTTATCACACCCACAGTGGGCTGGAGCACACCCCCCCCATATTGTGCATTTAGGTTGGTTTCATGGGACAGCAGGAGGATACAGTTTTTTAGGCTCCATTCCAAAGAAAACATTTATTTTTGAAGCAGTTTAAAAACAGGGGCATAATATAGGATTAAATTGATCTCTAAAGATGAAGGAAGGTTCAGAAAAAGCTCATTTATTTCAATAGAGTGACAAATGGGAATATGGCCTTTTATTTTATAAATGTGCTGACTTCTAACTAGTTATCATATATTTTCCGTTAAGCTTTCAGTACATTTAAAGGTGTGATTGTTGCTTTTCACCACCATGAACATTAAGGTTAGATATATCTTCTTTATATGTCACCAATTCATACAATTTATTTAATGATGCTGTATTTTAAAAACAAACACATGACAACAAAGAGATCACCGAACACCTTGCAAAGAGTTTTTTAAGTCCAAAGCTTTTGCACACAGAGTGAAGCTAGTAGCACCAATCAACATTTTTGCTTCATACATCTATAATTAATTAACAGGACTGCACAATACTAGAAACATTTCTACATTTCGGACAAGTTAATTTGTGAAAAAAAGCATCTGCAGACCCATCTGCCTCATCTAAGCATCATATCAAGTGTGAATTGCAGGCTGAATTTAACAGCTAGCAGTTGCAGTTAAATGATGAGTTCTCACATACTTATAACTCCACTTATAACACTTATAGTAGTATCGATAGTAACTACCTTAGTTATCAAAGCTCTCTTCCACACTAATACACAATATATTTTGTGTTGCAGTGAGCTAACTTCCTGTTGTGTAAAATTCTGTTCAATACATGTTATTCATTTGTGTTTTTTTTTTTATCTTGAGACCTTAGCAGTTAAAAAACAGACCTGTGTGGAAAAATGGTGTATAACGGCTATAGAAATGCAGGCATCACATGAGGCCGTCCGGAGGGGCACGCTCAGGGCATCAGATACGAACACATTGAAACCCCTCTCAGCGCAGATTTGGACCAGAGCGCCGCTGCGATCACATCCCACCTGAGATCAGACAAACACACGGAGAGGTAATGAAGGGCAAGAGTAAGATTTAAGCACAACTTGTAAATATGACAGAGATCAAAAAGAATCTGAGGAGGAAGACAAGATAAAGTCAAGATTAAAAGGAGAGAGAGAAAAGACAAATGGAATAAAGTTATAAAGGAGAAGGGAGGCCATTAGATGACGGTGATAATTCATGATTAGTCAGTTCATTCAGGTGTCCTTTGGTCTCCTCCCAAAAGAGAAAAATGTAAGAAGAGATTTATGATTCACATGCAAGAGACTAGCCATATTTCTTTCAATTAAATCCCAGAATGTTAATGGTGTCAAACTAGAGAAGGAGACAGAGCAGGAGAGCAGGACAGAGAGGAAAAAGATTAGGGTGCAGAAGAATAGAATCCTGGGTGAGGAGGATATTGGAAGAAGCTGAATAAAACGCAGAAAACTGGTGCGCGACCTGCATAATCACAATGTTCTCACTGATGATTTATTACAGCTACGGTGTGAGTCGAGATAAGCTGCTTACACGCTTCTCCTAAATCCCCAAACATGAATATCCTGGTGTGCATACGTAAACTGAAAATTTGGATATTACCATGGAAACTGAGCTAATGCGAAGGATGGCATCCTGCAGACACTGGAGAGGGAACACTGATCTCACCCTTTCCTTGGCTACACACATCCATACACTTTATGTCTTAAAGAGCAACATGAGGTGTCCTGCAATACTGAAGGATTCTCTCCATGGTGAATGTTCCCAACAGGATGTAGAGGGAGCACTGTGTTATGCTTTAAGACTATGTAATGATGCAAACCTTAGATAGTATTTAGACCATTTATAAAAGCTCATATGTTACAAAATGAAAAAGGAAATTAATGTTAAGATGTATCCTAAAGTACAGCTCCTCAAACTGTCAAAATGTCTTTTCATGTCAAACATGTTGAACATAAGTTAACCTTGTTTGTTAAATACAGGAAAACCTCTGAAAAACTAGAACAAACACAAATAAGCAGCACTTAAAGCAGGCACCTGCGGCAGGTATAGGATGGACTTCCTGTTAATGCCAATGAACAAAGTACAACTCATTTATCTTCTTTATATATATATATATATATATATATATATATATATATATATATAGTTTTTTGGGAAAACAAGATTGTTTACCACAATACACGAATCAAGAGTTTCAAAAACATGTCTCGCATTGAATTCTGGGACAGCGGGCCCGAAAAAGTGAGCACAAAAACCAATGCATAGCCTCAGTTCAGTGGGAAACAAACACTTAATTCCCCTCCCAAAAGGTTCCTGTTAAACGTATTCAGAAAAAGGTAAGCTTGCTTTTACTGATTTTACATTATTTTGCAAAGTTAAAAATCCCCAAACTTGAGCTTTATCTCTATATTCATAATCAAAGTTTCATAATATACATTCAGGCTCAAAGTTAAGTTGCAACCTTGCTATGAAGCAGCTTTGTCATATTTTTTTCCGTGAAATATAGCTGAAGAATACAAATTGCACTGCTAACACTAAAAGCCTGACCTGTTTGTTGTTACTGCGAAATAGGATTTTAACATCAAAGCTGTGCCTTTAGTGGATGCACAAACAGCAGCAAAAAGTTGAACAGAGTTGTAATATTTCATCCCATAATCTCCGCATATGACATTTCTTTTGAACTCGTATATTAAGTTTCCAAAATACTAAATAATTTTTACTTTACAAATCATACGCTTCATAATGATTGCTATCAAATTTGATTATTGTAATCAAATATTTTTGGGGCTCACTTTCTAAGGCCCGCCAGCCCAGAATTCAATAAACGGCAGTCATGTTTTTGAAACTCTTGATGCAACAAGTATTTACTCCAATTAATTAACTACAATTTATAAAGTTAAAGGAAAATCATACGTCAGCAATTATTTTATATCACATAGTCAAAAGCTGTATATGGGCAGCATCAGTGTATTCTTAATCTCCATCTACGTTTTTTCACTTTCTAACATATCTAAACATAACAGAATGTTTTGATCTTAACTACTGCGCTGTGCATTCAGCTCTTTGTTTGACAATAAAGTTCAGCAAAGCGAATCTCCACTCCAGTCCATGTTTTGTGGCTTCTAACGGGTTTTCTGACAGTATTGGCTTGTGTTAAACTCCATCAATCTGCCCATGGACTCAGACCAGCTCACCATCATGCTGAAGAAATGCAACTCCAAAACCCCATGCTGCTACATAAATGAAAAACAGGAAATGTTTGGGTTTTTTCTTCTTCATATTGCTATTTGAGACCAACTATCCTCCTACCTGAGCAGCTCCTTCAGAGACACCGTTGACCAAACCTGCTTCACCTTTAACTGCTTTTCTTGTCTGAAATACAGTCTTTGTTGTGACATTTAAAGAACTGTTTTATACTTTTGGCTTTAATGCTTCGTCTTTCTGATGAAGTTTTGATCTCTCGTGTTCTGAGGCCTGGATTTACACTTGGGATAATTACGCACAGGGGGACTTTATGCAGACGTATGTAATTAAATGGTGGAAAACACAAATTTATGGCACAATTTCAGTTTTTTTTTGGTAGATAAAAAATAAAAACCACAAGAGAACATGTGGTCATTATTCTGTAATGTGACAAAACATGAAGAACCTGAATATTTATAAATATGTTTGCAAGGAGCAGAAGAGGGTTTCTATTGTTTTAGCTAAAAAAAAAACATACTAAATATAAGAGATAAAAAAAAAAATAGTTTTATTTTTTTGTTGCTAAATTAAAGTTTTGGTTCATGTCTGTCATTCTCCCAAAAGGGGAAAAAAATAAAAACATTCTAGTATTTTTCTCTAAGATTGAGTGTTTTTGAATTTTAAAAATAATAATAATAACTAAACTTTATTGATCTCACATTGGAGATATTTACCTTTGACTTTAACCCACTTGGGGAGCAGTGGGCTGCCATTGTGCAGCACTCAGGGAGCAGTACGGGGTTAAGGGTTTTGCTCAGGGACCCAGAGTGCAGGCTGTGGGATCGTACTTGAAACCTTCTCAGAGCACAAGCGTACTGCTTTAACAAATACGCCCCCTACTCCCCCGGCAACAAATCTTTGATTCATCAGGAAAAAAAGCAACCTTAACATCAGTTTGCTGCTACTTAAAGAAGAAATAAGCAGTTCCTTTTTTCATATCTTCAAATCATGGCCTTGTTGAAAACCTACACAATTTAAAATGACAAAATGATTCAGATTGATTCAGAACAGTGACAGACCAGGTCAATAATTGACCCCACCCACCGAGATTAACTGAGGGTTGACTCCCAGGTACTTCCCGTTTCCACAGCCCACGTCGGCCAGAACACTTCCTGGTGGGAGCGAGGACAGGAAGTGGCAAACGCGCGGCCACGGAGTGTGACGAGTGCTGCTAAAGTGGGAAGCGATGGAATCGTACACCCGGTGCACGTATTCTTCCTCCAAACGGGTGGCGTCGGCATGGCAACAGGGAAGTGAGGGCGTGGATGACGTATTGGGGGAGGTTCCACCCTGACTATCACAGGCAGAGGGGAAGGCTGGAGGAGGAGAAAAAGGACAGAGTCAATTATAACCATTTTATTCTGAACTAAAGCCTCAAACAGCAAAACTAGACAAAGTTTACAAATATGAACAAAGAAAGCTATTTTATTTTAACCCTTTATGCAGCGGGAAGTTAACACAAACACTAACAATTGATCTTATTGAGAATGTTTAGAAAAACTTTTAAAAAAAACTCAATTTACAGACGCATTCATCCGAATCTGACTACTTGAAAACTTTTGGGTAACAAAACATTGCACACTCAGGGTTCAAAGGTACAAATTAGATGAACGAAGAAGACTATTGTCACTTAGTTTTATTTAGGAGTTAATGAGAAAAAATCCAGTCTGTAGATGTCATCAGCCGCTAGCAGCTAACTCAAAAGACTTGCAACTGGTATGGCAATGAAAGGTTGTTTAACGGAGGCTGAATATAAAGGCATGCCACACTTTTCAGTTTTTCATCTGTAAATATAACGTTTTCCTTCAACCATCACAGACTGGTTTATGCTGGTCTACCATAAAACCTCACACTGACATACTGCATGGAGGATCTTGGGGTCTAATTAAAAAAACACACCCATGAAGTAAATAAATAACATTTAAAGGATATCACCCAGTTTGTTTCAATCTAGATAATAAAGATTTGAACCTTCTGATTTGAACTTTTACCGTTTTGTGCTTAAAGGAATGAGGATATATTTAGATTCAGTTGGGTACCTGTACATTTTCACAGCATTTTTCCTCACTAGCTCATTCATCAATTAGTCAATATTTAAAATGCATCATATGAACTATATGGAGTTTTTTTTAAAGGAACAATGAAAAACATTTTATTATCCTAGATAAAAGAACTAAAAAACATTTGTGAAGAACTAAAGGTATAATTTCAGATGCACTATGGTGGAAAGTCACACCATCTCTCCGTTTTGTTCTATTGTTTAAATAGCCCGCCTGGATACGTGTGCATGCATGCATGTGGGAGCCGCCACTCAGGGCTTACTAGAGTAGCATAGGAGTGAAATGGCAGAAAAACGTTGACATGAAGACAATCAGAATTGATCATTGCCACAGAAAAAGAAGCTGTCAGATAACGAAAAGGGATAAAAAAAGGATTAAAACTGGCCTCGAATTCCCAATGTGGAGAAAACTTCTAGAGCAGAAGCAGCTCCAGCCTCTCCTGGACTGCTGAGTAACAGAATGAAATCAAATGTTTGCCTTTGCTGGTGTTACAATCCTCTTTAGACTCCTGTTGCTATGTTAACTTTATTCATTGTAATGCTAGAATTAATGGTGGCATGTGGGTTAAGTATAGGAGTTTGATCAGCAATGGATCCGATGGCCGGCAGTCCAGCTCACACAGACAGTATTGTTTAATGCAGCTTGTTGATTCCCATCGGGATCCTCACTTACATTCAGGATTTTCTTTTTTTGATAAGTAATTGTTCCTAAATTTAACATGACTGAGTAATTGTCTCTGCTTCAAATATTCTGAGTTGTCTCGCTCAGTCTACTCACAAACAGCAATTTAACTGTTTTTTTTTTCTCTTTTATTGTAAAAAAATAAAAATAAAAAATGACGAGATCAGGAAAAATCTCGCACAGCATATTAAAATGAATAGAAAAATATAATAATGCCATAAAGGGAGTAAAAGATTATTTTAAAAGCAACAATGAATCAATATATTTATTCTCAACTACAATTTATACACATATGGTGTAGTCAGTCTGAATTTCGTGGGAGGAATCGATACTATTATTAATATTAATTATTATTAATATTAACATTAATCAGTATAAACAAATCATCTCTTGCTTCATGCTATTAAGCTTGATAAAAAGTTGTAATAAAATGAAGTGTTGTTTTGGTCTGCAGAAAGTGCTCAACAGCGCCCCTAGTGGTGAAGATTTCACAGGTCCTTCCTATAATATATACAGGTGCTGGTCATAAAATTAGAATATCATGAAAAAGTAGATTGATTTCAGTAATTCCATTTAAAAAATGAAACTTGTATATTATATTCATACATTACATACAAACTCATATATTTCAGATGTTTATTTTGTTTAATTTTGATGATTACAAATGACAACAAATGAAAATCTCAAATTCATCATATCAGAAAATTAGAATATTACTGAAGACCAATAAAAACAAAGGATTTATAGAAATGTTGGCCAACTGAAAAGTATGAACATGAAAAGTATGAGCATGTACAGCACTCAGTATTTAGTTGGGCCTCCTTTGGCCTGTATTACTGCAGCAATGCGGCGTGGCATGGAGTCGATCAGTCTGTGGCACTGCTCAGGTGTTATGATAGCCCAGGTTGCTCTAATAGTGGCTTTTAGCTCTTCTGAATTGTTGGGTCTGGTGTATTGCATCTTCTTCTTCACAATACCCCATAGATTTTCTATGGGGTTAAGGTCAGGAGAGTTTGCTGGACAATTAAGAACAGGGATACCATGGTCCTTCAACCAGGTACTGGTAGCTTTGGCACTGTGTGCAGGTGCCAAGTCCTGTTGGAAAATGAAATCTGCATCTCCAAAAAGTTGGTCAGCTGCAGGAAGCATGAAGTGCTCTAAAACTTCCTGGTATGTGGCTGCGTTGACCCTGGACCTCAGAAAACACAATGGACCAACACCAGCAGATGACATGGCACCCCAAACCATCACTGACTGTGGAAACTTTACACTGGACTTCAAGCAACGTGGATGAAGTGCCTCTCTTCTTTTCCTCCAGACTCTGGGACCTTGATTTCCAAAGGAAATGCAAAATTTACTTTCATCAGAGAACATGACTTTGGACCACTCACCAGCAGTCCAGTCCTGTTTCTCTTTAGCCCAGGCAAGACGCTTCTGACGCTGTCTGTGGTTCAAGAGTGGCTTGACACAAGGAATGTGACAGCAGAAACCCATGTCTTTCATACGTCTGTGTGTGGTGGTTCTTGAAGCACTCACTCCAGCTGCAGTCCACTCTTTGTGAATCTCCCCCACATTTTTGAATGGGTTTTGTTTCACAATCCTCTCCAGGGTGCGGTTATCTCTCTTGCTTGTACACTTTTTTCGACCACATCTTTTCCTTCCCTTCGCCTCTCTATTAATGTGCTTGGACACTGAGCTCTGTGAACAGCCAGCCTCTTTAGCGATGACCTTTTGTGTCTTGCCCTCCTTGTGCAAGGTGTCGATGGTCGTCTTTTGGACAACTGTCAAGTCAGCAGTCTTCCCCATGATTGTGTAGCCTATAGAACTAGACTGAAAGACCATTTAAAGGCTTTTGCAGGTGGTTTGAGTTAATTAGCTGATTAGAGTGTGGCACCAGGGGCCATCAATTTTGAACCTTTTCACAATATTCTAATTTTCTGATATGATGAATTTGCGATTTTCATTTGTTGTCATTTGTAATCATCAAAATTAAACAAAATAAACATCTGAAATATATGAGTTTGTATGTAATGTATGAATATAATATACAAGTTTCATTTTTTAAATGGAATTACTGAAATCAATCTACTTTTTCATGATATTCTAATTTTATGACCAGCACCTGTATTTTGTCATCTGTACTTACGAAACCTTGAAAGTCCTTAAATGAAATAACATTTAATTATTATTATTTTTTTTTATAATTCATCGACGTCAAAACCTTGATACCAGCTTTGGGCCGATGTATTCAACATTCTCACCGCAGCAGCAGGGTTCCTGTCTGATTTTGCGGAAAGTAAAAGAGGTCCGGGTGCCCCTCCTGCTCAAAGTGAGGCAGCTGTGGGAACTGAGGTCGGCCTCAGAATCAGCAGAGCTCTGCGGCTCACCAGCTGGCACCAGGTCAAACTTCCGAGGGGTAATCCTAATGGATGGTAAAAGAGACAAACTACAAAACCAGGAGACACTGTTGTGATCAAGTTCAAGAGATTATGGATTAGGGGAAAGAAGAAAGCCTCCAAACTGTAAAACCCAGAATAAACCTATGAGAAACTAGCAAACAGAGACAAGAGCAGTAGGACATAGTCCAGCAGCACACCCGTGTGTCCAGAGGTATCTGCTCTCCCCCTTCATCACCAGCAGGCTCCTCTCAGGCAGAACCACAGGAACAGCACGGCCGTCTGGGTGACGAAACTCCATCACTGCCTGCAGGAAGAGAATGAGGATGGAGTGAAAAGAAAACTGTTTGAGATAAAACAGCACTAACAAGGATGGGAGAACATAAATTGCCAGAAGACTTGTCTCCATTGCACATCTTCATGGCATCAGTTTAATGAAAAACTAAACAGGTAAAAACAAATGTTGACTGAAATGAGTTGGTCCGTGTCCGTCTCTAGAAACAACCTATTAATATGAGCAGAGTATTACTTAAAACTTATACTTGCTACAATCAATAGTAAAAAAAACAAGGATGTCCACAATCTTCTCCAGTTGCATGTGTGAGACAAAAACTCAAACGTCTCTCTCATCAGCACCACCCCTGCTCACTCATCTTAAGATGTTTCAAGGCCAGGAGGGATAAATATTCCCACGACAGTCTCAGGTCAACAATAACTCCCCTGATCCAATACCTGATGCCTCTTCAAGCAGAGGAAAAGCCCCACTATTCCAAGTTCCCCCCCTCAATGATGGAGGGTTCCCACCAGAGCTGAAATCTTGAATTTTCTTATTTCACTGAACACAATAAAATACACGTTTGGCTTCTCTCTTGTCCAGAGTTTATTGTCAGGACTTTAATGCTGCATAGAAACCTGTAAACTCTTCCCTTCTCTGGCAGCAAACTCACTTTAACCGCATAACCAACTCTTAAGGGGCTGGAGTTAGAAAGTTTGAGTCCTACTGTTGGTAAATACAAAATGATTTGGAAACTGTATTATTTAGAAGTGTGTTTATAATGCAATTGTAATTAATTGCCCAGCCCTACTATCCACCCTGAGGAAGAAGCAGGCTGAGGTTAAAATGAGTTGGAACAAAGATGGAATGAATTACAGATTTTTTTGCTCAATTGTTTCTTCACTGCAGCAGACATGAATACTCCTTGTTTTTACTAATCCTGCAGATTAAGGTCCAAACAAGGCACCAATATATTAAACTAGTTCTCAAAATAGTTCTCAAACTGAGGTAGAACCAGGAACTACACTTAGACGAACTTTATTTTTATTATTCTTATTATATTTTTATTATTTTATAATTTTTTATGCACAGAGTGTATACTAAATCTAATTCCGTTGCATACAGCTTACTATAGTGAAATGAGCAGCTTACAACAATGAAACAGTAAAATGAACATTACCGTTTACAAAGTGCAGCAGTGATCAGAATGTGAACAGTTTAGGAGAAAAGAAACCAGTTTAAAAATAATGATGTAAAAGGGCATTAATATGAAAAGGTTCAGAGCAGCGCAAAATAAAAATGATCAACTATTGATTGAAGTTTGAACCCGGCCTTCATTTGGCTTCGAAAAGCTCCATTGGAAGCTCTAGTTTAAAGATGGACGAAAACATTTAGTCGCCAATATTAGCGTTTTTTTCTTAATTCGGTCTGGTACGTGCATGCGCGGGCCGATTACCGGTAATAAAGGAATTCATCAGCCATACCTTGAGATCATGTGCATTGCCACTTCCCTTCATTTTCTTTATGTTGTAACTTCTTTTGGAATCTAGTTTTATTTTTCCTCTAAGGCCACAAAGCTGGTAAGAAAGCATATTGCAACTGAATGTTGCACCATAACCCTTCTTCAAGTGGTTTTTATCTGGACCTTCTGTATTAATCCATTTAATTTGTCAGTCCTCCATCAACAAATTCGGTTTAAGTTTACTCTCAGTTTTAACCAACATTCACCTCCATCCTGGTGCCTGTTTGATCCTAATGTTTCCTTACAGCACCCAAGAACCCGCGCTCTGCAGGGAAATTACATTCACACAACTCCCAACTGCATGAGTTCAACTTCTGACAGCAGGAAAATTGGATTCTGTCAAGAGTTGGTGTGTGTCTGTGTGGATAAGGGAGGAAGAGGAAGAAGGGCATGAGTTTGTGTTTTCCTGTAAAGGAGCATGAGAAGCTCCAGCTAATGACCAGATCTTTCCCTCGGTTCACAGCTGAACTGCTTCATTTTTGCCCCCCAGAGAGGCGGGAGAGTTCTGCACCGTTTCAATCTGGAAGAAAATGAACCAATCTGTGAAACCGGTGGGATGTGACTGAATCGATAATGATGGTGGGAGACCGTGCTTTTCTACAGGAACGCTCATCCTTCTTCATCTCTCTCTCTTATAGACATGCATACAGGTTCCTATGTGGACATTTTCATCAGAAATGCAGAATGCATTTTCTCAACCCTTTAATCAGCACCTACACTATATTGCCAAAAGTATTTGCTCACCTGCCTTGACTCACATATGAGCTTGAGTGACATCCCGTTCCTAATCCATAGGGTTCAATATGACGTCGGTCCACCCTTTGCAGCTAGAACAGCTTCAACTCTTCTGGGAAGGCTGTCCACAAGGTTTAGGAGTGTGTTTATGGGAATTTTTGACCATTCTTCCAGAAGCGCATTTGTGAGGTCGCACACTGATGTTGGACGAGAAGGCCTGGCTCTCAGTCTCCGCTCTAATTCATCCCAAAGGTGTTCTATCGGGTTGAGGTCAGGACTCTGTGCAGGCCAGTCAAGTTCATCCACACCAGACTCTGTCATCCATGTCTTTATGGACCTTGCTTTGTGCACTGGTGCACAGTCATGTTGGAAGAGGAAGGGGCCAGCTCCAAACTGTTCCCACAAAGTTGGGAGCATGGAATTGTCCAAAATGTCTTGGTATGCTGAAGCATTCAGAGTTCCTTTCACTGGAACTAAGGGGCCAAGCCCAGCTCCTGAAAAACAACCCCACACCATAATCCCCCCTCCACCAAACTTTACACTTGGCACAATGCAGTCAGACAAGTACCGTTCTCCTGGCAACCGCCAAACCCAGACCCGTCCATCAGATTGCCAGATGGAGAAGCGCGATTCGTCACTCCAGAGAACGCGTCTCCACTGCTCTAGAGTCCAGTGGCGGCGTGCTTTACACCACCGCATCCGACGCTTTGCATTGCACTTGGTGATGTATGGCTTGGATGCAGCTGCTCGACCATGGAAACCCATTCCATGAAGCTCTCTGCGCACTGTTCTTGAGCTAATCTGAAGGCCACATGAAGTTTGGAGGTCTGTAGTGATTGACTCTGCAGAAAGTTGGCGACCTCTTCGCACTATGCGCGTCAGCATCCGCTGACCCCGCTCCGTCAGTTTACGTGGCCTAACACTTCGTGGCTGAGTTGCTGTCGTTCCCAAACACTTCCATTTTCTTATAATACAGCTGACAGTTGACTGTGGAATATTTAGGAGCGAGGAAATTTCACGACTGGATTTGTTGCACAGGTGGCATCCTATCACAGTTCCACGCTGGAATTCACTGAGCTCCTGAGAGCGACCCATTCTTTCACAAATGTTTGTAAAAACAGTCTGCATGCCTAGGTGCTTGAATTTATACACCTGTGGCCATGGAAGTGATTGGAACACCTGATTCCAATAATTTGGATGGGTGAGCAAATACTTTTGGCAATATAGTGTATATAACTGCACATTTAGCTTTTCATTTTGATCACAAGCTTTAAAACAGGAGATTTGCACACACCATGCTGAATTCTTTGGCCAAACAATGATGAGATGGAAAGTGGTGGAAAAGTAACAAAACAAAGCAAACTCATATTAGTGCAGACATTTTTTCAACATTTAGTTATTTCAAAGCCATTAATCTTTTTCCTAGAAAATCTACATAAAATATCCCTCTATGATGATGTGAAAATGAATGTTTCTTTAGATGATTGAAATTTATTTATGTTTCAAAGGCCTCTGCTTTGCCTTTGATAATATAAAGTCTTTAGAAACACCACAGACTTTTGACTAGTCAGATTTTTTTTGCTTAGTTAGAACCGTGCAGCGTAAACTTAAACTTGAGTTGTGCACAGACTTCCCTCTTTTGTCAGCCTTTTTCACATGCCTGACATTTCTTTTTTAAAATATCATTTTGTTAATCTCATGTAACAAACGCTTATTCTCCCAGACACTGTGTTTTCATAATCTGCTATCTGTATATCCAAGATGAAAAAAATAAAAGCTTTAAATCTTTGGCCCTATGTGTAATGAATTGAAATAAGTATTAATCTCACTTTCTGGAGTGACAAAAATATTATTTTTATGATATTCCATTATTTTTTTAAGATGAACCTGTAGATTCTCGCAAAAACAGACTGGAAATTGGATCACAGGTCAAAAAGGACGTGTTCAAAACACAAATGATTACCTTTGCCCCAAGACTCAAAGACAGGATGGTGTCCTCGAAGGCAGAGTGAGTGTCAACGTGAGGGGGGATTCCTGAAAGGGGGACAAATGCAAAGAATTTAATTTAAAAGACCTTTCGATGAATGAGAGCCAAGACTTTTAGATTTATTCCCAAAACTGATGTATTTTCTTTTCCAACAAAAGACACATTTTTACTTTCTAGTAATGAATGAATAAAGAACTGAGGATCCACCAGAGAAAAACAAATATGCTGCCACCTAGTGGGAAGTTGAAATATGTTTTTTCTGCAAACATCAATTTTGATATTAATAAAAAATTCAAAAATACTGCAGACTGTCTATATATTCTATCTTTTGCGTTGAGTTCTGCAAAGCAAATGACAAAGAAGGGAAGAAATGAACTGAGATTTATTTTTTTATAAAAGAAGAAAATAACTAACGCCAACAGTGTCACAGCAAAGTAGTACATTTTAAAATAATTATTGATTCATTTATGTATTAAATGTATTTTAGGCCCATAGCTGGAGTGGTACTGGGAGGTATGGTCATAAAATCTAATCAAAATATTTTGTGATACTTTTGAAATCATAAAAGGATGAAAATAAAAATCATTGCTTTTTTTTTTTAAAGGTAGCTGAGTGGCTGTGACTTAATGCCAAAGCAATCGGAGCCAAACAATTCCAAATACTTATCTAAAAGAAAATATACTGATTAAAAATAGGCTGCTTAAGGACACAGTTTACAAAGTGATGTAGGATTTGTTCACATGACATCCCACAGTAACCCTATTTAATGACCCAATGGCAAAAAAGGAGAAGGACAATAAATTAAAAATACACAATAAATTGTGGGGGCTTCTTTGGAACAACCTCCCTTGGAAAATAAAACAAACAAAAAAGGACAACGATAGTGTTGATAGATGCTTAATATATTGGAATAAATGCCCAATTGAACTAATGTGCTGCTGATGTTGATGCAATAAGAAGTTGTGTTTAAATGTGTGAGAAAAACAAAACGGAAACTGAAGCACACTCACCCTGTCCGGCCTCATACTGGTTCACAGTGAGCTGGTCTGGCAGGACGTTAATGTGGCCGTCCTGCAAACATCGCTGCAAAACAGGTAGACACTCATCAGGAAGACCTGGGCACAGAAAAAAGTTTACGGTTAGCCATTGAATGTCATAAGGAAACAACTTATAAAACATGCAGGACATGATGCAAACAACCTCATCTATTTAAATTCAGACAGGCACATTTCTCTTTCTAAATGTATACATTTCTCTTTACATGGGACTAAAATGAATACCTGCAGGTAACGGTGTGTCCTTGTCCACATTGTTGTTGTCATAGCGAAATTCAAAGCCGTAATGCTTCACCTTCCTGTGCTTCAGAGCTTTCTGAGCTAAAGATATACACAAAAAAAGTAAGATTATGATCAAAGGAATAGCTATGTGACACTTCATCTGAATTTGAACAAACCTAACGAGGATAGCTAACAGCTATTGAGCCCTAAACGCTCCCTATAATGAGGGTGCTCTATGTTTTTTGACCTTGAAAACTGATTTTGGTCTAAGTTGAAAAAAGTAAATGTTTGCAAAAGAGCAAAACTTGGAAGCTCTGTCCAATGCTACCTTCATTAGAAGTTGACCAGTCCACAGCAGCGAGGAGCACAGCCTCTTCCTGTGGCGACACAAAATCCTCCACCAGGGTTAGCCCCTCAGGAAAATGGACCACCGCCTCTTCTTTATGCTTTACTGCAAAGAACCATTGGTGATACATGTAGAGAGGTTATTGATATATATCACATGCACTTTAGCTGCAGTATCATGCATAAGTCAAGAGTCAGCAGCCATTTTTTTTCCAATTCACTTCTAAAGATTCAACTCTACCTAAAACTTGAACTCCTTCTAGGATTTCTGGTGGTTTTTACAAAGTTTTTTTTTTCATCTTTAGATGGGGAAGTCTAACATAATGATGAAAAGAAAAATGACAGGACTAGTAAATCTTTTTGAAGCACAATTTAAGTTATATTTCTAAGGAATAGTAAAAAAAAAAAAACTGAGCCAAAAAAAAAGAATTATAATCAAAGAAATCTGTAATTCTTTAGATAATCGTCTACCATACGTCAAAAGTCTTAGCTAGCACCTCTTTTATAAAGTTAGAAGTTAGAAGCACAATAAAAGCAGACTTTCAAAGAATGACTCATGCCACTTAAAGCTTTATGTCGTTATAAGTAGATTAAAAACTAAAATCATGTACCTGAATCAACATAACTGAGATAGAGTGTAACACTGTTCTCCCCAGACTGCAGTTTCTGCCCGTTAAGCTGGGCATGAGCTTTCCGGGCGCCATCTTCAGATCTGGAAGAGCCAAAAAAAGACAAAACTCAGTCAAACCAAAAGCAATTGGGTCAAAGAGTCCAGTTATTTAAATCAACCAAACACAAGCACAACCCTGGGACAGGGAAACATCACATTTTTTTTTATAAATATTTCTGGGATGAGTTCAGTTGTAATCACAATGGGTTCAACAACTAATGTATGATTTTTAAAACGAGTTGAAGCCTTTTTCAGCATGTGTTAGATTGTCTGTTTCCCGTTGTTTATCTTCAGTGTCTCACCGCGTTATGGAAAAGTCAGAAAGCTAATTCAAGTATTTACCTGGTCTGGAATTAATTTTGTACCCCTTTCTTTAAAGGTAATAAGCATTCGCTTCCTACATCGTTAATCACTCTTCTTGGGTGCTTTCTGATTTCATATATCAACATTGTGATTGCTTTAGAAATACCCATCATTCATTAATTATATATTTTTTTGTCTTTTTGTAGTAATCTTTTGTTTATTTTAAAGAAAACTAACAAAAAAAACCCGAATAACTCTAGAAATTTGGGGCTTAAAGGAGAATTCCGGTTTTTAACACTTTTAGCCCATTTTCTGTAGTGTCCAGGATGAAATCGAATGATCGACACCAAAATTTTGACAATTGGTCCTGTCTCTGCTTTTTGGCTCATTTAGAATCCACCCCTGGCTGCTTCAGAATGGCTTCCATAGTGCATGTCCGATGATGTCCTTAAAACAACCTTAAACGTTCTTTTTTTAAAATATGCTACTCACCGGGTCGTCAGCGCTGTTCAATGACGTTCCAAAAAAAGTTTCGTAAAGAAAAAACCTTCCTGTCTTGTTTTATTTTGCATTTTGTAAATCCCATTGAGTTCTGTAGGAATAGTCAATATTCCCCTGCCACCGGAAACGGAAATGGGGCCTGTTTACACACTCTGTGTACTCCGACGTCGAGGTGCTAACGTCTCTGTTAAACACTTTAAAAAACTCTGAAAATGAAATACAAAAGGTGGATTCTTGATTCTCGACGTCGGAGTACACAGAGTGAAGCGAAAAGACTACAACTGTGTAAACAGGCCCCATTTCCGTTTCCGGTGGCAGGGGAATATTGACTATTCCAACAGAACTCAATGGGATTTACAAAATGCTAAATAAAACACTACAGGAACGTTTTTTCTTTACGAAACTTTTTTTGGAACGTCATTAAACAGCGCTGACGACCCGGTGAGTAGCATATTTTAAAAAAAGAACGTTTAAGGTTGTTTTAAGGACATTATCGGACATGCACTATGGAAGCCATTCTGAAGCAGCCAGGGGGGGATTCTGCATGAGCCAAAAAGCAGAGACAGGACCAATTGTCAAAATTTTGGTGTCGATCATTCGATTTCATCCTGGACACTACAGAAAATGGGCTAAAAGTGTTAAAAACCGGAATTCTCCTTTAAAACAAGAATTGCATGAATTTCTCAAACATTTATTTGATTTGATTAAAAGGATTTTACTTCAGTAAAAAAAGAAAAATGTCTTTAATCCTAATTGAACAGGTAGCCTCAATGATAAAGTGCATGTTCCTGATGAGGCAGTACCTGTATGTGACAAAGGCGTAGGGCTTCTGAGGAGGCATAAGCAGACTTTCCACATCTCCATAATGTTCCAGACAAGTGAGCAGATCTTCACGACTGACACCATTCCCCAGTCCTCCGTTCGCCACCACCAAACTCTGCAGACATGACAGAAGAGAAGAACCAGTGAGTCTGAAGCTCTCAGGCCAGATGAAACCTTATTTCTTAAACAGTCAGTTGTATAGCTTTGCTTTGATTTAGTTGGGCTTTCTTCCTTTTCTGCCATATGGAAGGTAATATTGTTCTTTATTTAGTGATTAACCTTGATATTACCTGTAATTTGCAGGTTTGTTCGGTCAGAACTTGTAATGCAGAAAAATGTCTGTCTTAGCACCCATTTCTATCCCATCAAATGGTCCTGACATCACCTTATTATAAAAATACCAAATTCTTGTTTTCATGGGAAACTAGTTCTTTACTGCTCTTATTTCACATGTTCAAAGTAGACATTTAGCCACTCCTTTAACTTTAACAGATGTTTCTTTTTTGTTTTGTTTTTTACATTTTCTGACTGATTTTAGGCAGAAATGTCTAGAACGTTTAAGCAAAACTTCCCCTTTTATAAACATTATATACTGCTGCATATGGGCAACAACTGAACTGTTGTAATTCATTTTTAATGCCACAACCCTTCGAACCGTGTTTATTTTAGATAACCAACATTCGTCTTCAATTCCAGTTGTTTTTGTTTTTTTGTTCACCTTGGTAGGATGCGATGCTGTACTGATGCCTTCATGTTTCAGTAAAGTGAAACTGGCCTTCAGTTGTTTTTTCAACACTTTCTTGTCTTCTTTGCTTCTTCTGGCGGCGCATTTCACGTTATTTACCACATCGGAGTCCATGGTTCGTTCTACTAAACTGTCCGGGTGCAACAAGCACCGAAAAACTAAGGGTCTTCTTCTTCTTCTTATGGGGTTTTATGGCGGTTGGCAGACTTGTGAATTGTGCATTACCGCCACCAACTGATATGGAGTAAAGCAAGAAAACAGAAAACGATTCACCCCCCCCCCCCCCCCCCCCAAAAAAAAAAAAAAAAAAAAAAAAAAAAAAAAAAAAAAAAAAAAAAAAAAAAAAAACCTGTGTAACTTAAACCAACATAATACTAAATCACATTTGCCCATATAATTTTTAATTTACTCTAGGTCATCTTAACTCTGCCAGTTTCTGATGGTCCCATCGGTCCTCCCATCATACTTCCAACCATCTCCCAGTTCAAATCTTTAATGTCCAGATATTTTTCTGCAGCCCTCACTATTATTTTGATTTTTTCCGTTTTTTTTGTTGTCTGTGCAGTACAATTAATTACTTCTACCATGAAAAGAACAAAATTTGTCTTTTTAACAATAAGTGAGTCTTCATCAATTTTTTGATTCTCTAGAGGTTTGGAATTTGCCGTGTGTTGAACTGTAGGTTTGGGTTTTTCTGACTGAGATGGGATCCTTTTTGCAGCTTCAGCGTAGGTTATTCCGAGCTCAAATTTCATTTTTTTAATTTCCTCAGACCTTTTGCTTGCTTCACAGCCGCGATAAGCAGCAGTATGTTCTCCACCACAATTACAGCATTTTATTATAGCTTCTTTTCCACATTTACCATATTCGTGTTCTCCTGCACACCTTCCACACCTCTGTTTCCCTTTACAAACTGCTGCAATGTGACCGAATTTTTGGCATTTGAAACATCTCAATGGTGGAGGATTGTAGATTTTGACATTATAGCTTATGTAACCGATGAATACTTTGCTTGGTAATTGCTCTTCCTCAAATTTAATTAGCACTGATAAACTGTCAGATCTTTCTCCGTTTCTTGTTGTTTTTAACCGTTTTACTTCTTTTACTTTTGCACCGCTTATGTTTTCCAGAATCTCTTTTTCAGAAATTTTTAGAGGAACTCCTCCAATGACTCCCCTGCTGATCTTTTTGTTCTCCATTAGGCTGCACTGAACTCTTATCCCGTCAATTTTGTTGATCCGTATTGCTTTGCCTTGCTGGGCGCTGTCTCTGCAGTTAATTAGCAGGTCTCCACTGTACAGAATTCTGGCACCTCTGACTTCTCCGACAAGTTTATTGATGGTTTTTGTTAAGTGAACCGGATTCCAATTTGTAAAAGAGTCTGCCTGATTAACGACTTTGAATATGACTTTGAATTCATTTTGTTGTGCTGTGGAATGTATGGAATGATCATCACTGGATTGTTCTGAACTAGATTCCCCTTGAACTGATCTCTGTTTTTTCCGCTTTTTCTCATTTTTTGATGTTGCTATCTTCCACCCTTCATTGTCACTATTTCCCTCTTCCATCCCACAAGAATCGCTTCCTGTTTCCTCACTACTCACGGCCCAAGACATTTCTCCATAAGCAGCTTCAAAACACGCGCCATGCACCAAACGACCATCCACCCAGGAAGTTGCTGACACGTGGTTTGACGTTTGTCTCGGTGTCGCACCCGACGGCTCCTCTGCCTTCCCCCTTAAAATGGCCGCTCAAAACTAAGGGTCCCCCGTCGACTTCAACGTTCTGTTCAAACACATTAAGATATCTTCTGGTCAAAAGCAGCTTCAGCAACATTATTTTTAAACAAAAAAGCAATTCAAAGCAGGAATGGATAGCACAGAGAGTTCCTGGACAGTAGCCATATCTATGCGGTTAAAATTAATATATAAATAATATAATAGAAATGTATCTAATCTAATATATAATTGACTGTTTATTTAAAGATCAGTGTTAACAAAAAGTTTAGTGAAAGGTATATGATTTACATCACACAACACAACAGAAGCTAAGTTGGTTGCATTGCACCATTCATATACATGGTAACCCAATTTGATAAAGTTTATATAGAATTTTATTTTAATGATGACACAAAAATGTTGAACAAATGTGAATACTGTCAAATCAGAAGGACATATTTTATACATCCATCCATGTTTTGTCACGCTTATTCCTGCTTGGGTCGTGAGAGGTGCTGGTAACCCTCCAGCTGTCTGGACAGGTCGCCAGTCTGTCGCAAGGCAACACAAACAGGATAAACAACCATTCACACACTCACATCTAAGGAGAATTTAGAGAATCAATTTGCCTCACAATTATATTTTTGGACAAGGGGAGGGAGCCATAAAAATATTATTACATGCATATAAATAAATACTTTAAAAATAAGTACTTAATAAATACAGTTGAAGAATTTATTGGACAAGACATAAATAAGGAAATTATTACAAAGGCCAATAAATAAAGAAGCTAATTAATTCAATTCAATTCAGTTTACTTCCATAGCGCCAATTCACAACATGCCATCTCAAGGCACTTTACAGTTCACCAGATCATCCAGTCAAATTGATTCATTGTTTTCTATCTAAGGAAAACCAGTTGATTGCTTCCACTCATTTACTTGGATGCAATCCCTCACACTAAGCATGTGTGTACCAACAGTGGAGAGGAAAAACTACCTTTTAACAGGAAGAAACCTCCAGCAGAACCAGACTCTGGGGTTCAAGGAGACAGAAGCAGAGATACAAAAAGCAATCTTAAAAGGACCAGGACACACAGTCAGGCAGACAAGCTCAGAGGATGAAGAGAGCACATCCAGCCAGTCACAATCAGAGAAACAAGACTACACTGGAAAAACAGGCTGATCTCCAACATCTATAAACAAAGGTTCTGATGGCAGCAGCACAGCTGATATTTCCCTCCAGGGTGGTGTCACAGCCAAACAGGAACACACGAGACAAAACTACAATGAGAATAAGCAGAGATAGCATAACGTTAGAGATTGAACTAACAGATTCTGCAGAGTGGGAGAATAGAGATAGAATGAAGCAAAATGATGAAATAGGGGTCCCTATGTCCTTAAGAAGTCTAAGCCTGTAGCAGCATAACTATAGAGATAGCTAATTAAAAGAGATATATACATTTATGTCTCACTGCATAATTTAATTTCTACTCACATTTATTTGGTTATTGTATTTTGGGGGGCATTTAATTGTATGCGTATGTATTTATTGAGCAATTGTTTATTTATGTATTTATTTTTTAATATGGTAGAACTGATCCTCCATAGCTGGAGTTCCCGGAGAGAACATTTTTTATCTTGAAACAATGAAAAATACACAATGCAAATCATATTGTGTCCCTGTTTTGTTTTTCCTCTTAATGATCTCTAGTTGGGGTTCACTATTAAAGAATCTTAGGTTAAAATAAAATTTGATAAAAGAAAGCATGACTTGCTTAGAAGGAACTAAAACAACCTTTGCCTTTTTCCGCAGTGGTTAGGCTGGTAGATTATCAAGTTCATGGAATTTCCAGCATCTAATGAGATTTACTTTAGAACACCAACAGAAAAAATAAACAAAACAAAAAAGACATTAAAAAGACAAAGTACATTGCAAAGGTTAGGTTGTTTTGGTGCAGGCTATGTGCTGCTGATTTGTTTTACTTTGGGTCTGGAACACTTAAATGGTTGTTTTGAATAATGTGTCTGTGAAAACATTCAAATAAGAAGGGTTCTGAATAAATCAAACTAGAAACAAACTATTACTGTTTTCTGAGCAGGAATAATCCCAGTGGAGAGCACGGTGGTGGCAGCAGTGCTGCACACTAGAAATAAAAGAATAAAATATTTAGTGACATCCAGTTTAGGTAAAAAATTCTAGACTGAAAATGAAAAAAAATAACCAGAGATAGAAGTTTAACAAGGGTCATTGAAAGCTATATCCATTTTGTAGTGGGAAAAAGGAGAAATAGGAGGACCCATATACACTTGGACCCTACAAACAAGGCAATCAGTTTAAAGGTTTGGAAGTACAAAAATACTTCCCCTTTCTTCTCTTTTTGTTATGCAAATCACCTCTTCTAAACATAGTTTTCATATCATATAGGCTAAATCATTGTCTCTATGTATATCCTGATGTCATTTAGCATAGAGACTGTGCATGCAAAAGAGTGCGTGGGTCCTCCACTTGTGGATATTTGTCCATCTTTGCTCTCAAACACATTTATAGATTGAGGGTTTGTTCCATAACCAAATCTTCACCTGTCCAGATCCATCTTATGTGCCGGGCTCAGGGGTGAGAACCCTTCCTTGCTGAAACATGGCTGCTTTGTTTAGTCTGCAAAACAACAGCTGTTCTGGAGGGAGACCACCCTAATTCCATCCCTCACATGAAAACAATACTCTACATATTTTTTCTAAGCAGGCTTATAAAAACTTCTTTGGTTTGTCTCCATTTGTTGACATTGCATATCACTGCATGAATTAACCAGATGCACAGTCAGTAACCTCCAGTTCATGGAATTTAAAAATTTCATCAGTGCATTTGAATTTTCCGTGCAAAAGAATTTCGCAAGGTTTCAATGTTTAGACACAAAGTTTACACTTTGCAAAATATGCTGAATGAAAATTGCAACCATTTGTTTTTCTGGTGCAGTTTTTTTTTCTGATAATGTATCCAAGCTGATCCAAATGGTTGGGAAAGTATGTATCTTGCTTTGTAGCCTGCACTCAAGGGCAGCTTCACCTAAAGTCTAAGCCAAGCTCTTAAAACGCTGTGTAACAGGGAGAAGTCCCCTGTGTAAGCTGATGTATGTCATCACTTTCTAAAATTCAAGCTCAGCAGCCAAACAGACCTCTTTGTATCCTTACTGGCTTGACCTGCAGGACTAAAATGGACAAACAAATCAGATGCTCCCTTTTAAAATAGTGAGGATCTCGTTATCTTCTATAGTTGATTTCAGAAATACATAAAAAAAATTTCAGCAGAGCACTTCTTTAAAACATAGTATACCTTTTTTGCAGCTTTCTGTTGTGTAGTACAATTACCCTGTTGTCTCTTAGTTTTAGTGAGCCCCATACTTTTTGGT